CAGTACTCGCAGTCAATTTTGGAACACACCCTAGTTGTCATAGTCATAATTTTTGAATGGCATAACGGCGCGTGCTGATATTTCTGATGTTTCTGTTCACAAAGGTAAACCATTTCTTATATTTATTTATTTTGTATATTTTATTTATATTATATTTCGTATATTTTCATATAATAATTTTTATTGTGTTTTTGTTGCACTATTAAACAAATATGGTTTATAATAAAATAAGTGTTTCATGTCGCGTTCCAAAGAATTTAAAGTTATAATATCATTATTGTGCTTACACTGTCTACATTTACAATTACCGGTTAACATTAATCGGGTTTAATAATATCCGTAGTTACAACTAGCAATTATATATTACTGACAAAATGTATAAATAAATACTAGTTAAGTTTTAATTTATACCAATTGATACTGACAGTTGTCATCAAATTGAATTTATGTACAATATTTTACCGAATCTTATATGTTAGCAATTTATTTATGTCATAACTACAGTATAATATTATGGATTAATTAATTAAACCTAAATTTTTATTTTAAATTAAAATTATTTTACTTGAAGGCAAATCAAATTTATATTTAAATTTTTTTGTTGAATTTCTACGATCCTAGTGATAAATCATCAAATTACCATCGATTCGGCATCTATTCCATTCTCACTTCTCGTGAGATGTCACAAAAAAATTTAATTGAATTGATCTCTAATAGATCGATTCATTTAGCTCCGATCTTTTAATAGATCAATTTCAAACAATCCGATTCTAAATCGATTCAAAAATCGTACAATTAATGGAGACCGCACATCCCTACTTTATATGTACATATAGAACTATAATTAATGATAGAACGAATATACAGGACTCTTAGTATTAAAAAATTGTCAATGAAATAAAAAGGCAATTAAGAGTCAATATTATATGTGTGATCTAATAAAACATTTAATATATTATAAATTAAAATAAAATAAAAATAAAATAAAATTCACACTATAAATGCGCACGTAAACAAAAGTCAAAACCATAACGTTTCGGCTGCATATTCGAGCCATCCTCAGATGTACATATAAATATTAATTAACGCAGTAAAACATCTTTCGTTAACGCAGAAAAAACAAGAATAAAACTATAATGGAGTGTTATGTTCTAAAACGTTGAGTATTTCCACAGAGAGAACAATTTAGCTCATCAAGCGATTGGAAGTCAAACTGAATCAACTAAAATGTTTAAATAATCGTTAAAGAGTCATTTATTAAAATTCGGTGACGATCAAAAGTTTGATGAACTAAAGATGTTTTACTGCGTTAATTAATATTTATATGTACATCTGAGGATGGCTCGAATATGCAGCCGAAACGTTATGGTTTTGACTTTTGTTTGCGTGCGCATTTATTAGTCCAGTCGTCAGAGGAAAAAATACCACTGAACCTCTAAAAATGATCCGACCTGGCTGAAATTTTGTGTGAATGTACATTAGTAGTCCTCAAAAAAGATGCAAAAAAGTTTACCACTCGTACCCCCGGGCTTCGTCAGAAATTACCCCTTCAAGGGGGTAAAAAACGGAAAACATCGATTTCCCAGAAATCTGTGCATGGAAAAAAAAAAAGTTTCAAACAAAAAATGTAGCTGACACGATTTTGAACAAAAAAGTTCCTTACCACTTTCTTTGTAAAGTGAACCGTTTTCTCAGAAATGAGCAACCTTTCATAGGGTGAAAAAGGAAGTGGGGCGATTTCGGTAAAAACTGGCGAATATAAAAAGGAGCTTATTTGTAACTGTATGATTTAACATCTGATTGCCCCTAAAAAGTTTACAGCCCCCCCTTAACTCCCCCCCCCTCGAACAGGGAGTCAGAACCTTTGCAATGGGGGTAAAAATTGTAAATAGTAGAAAAATGGGTTTCATTGTGGTTATTAAAA